GGCAAGCTCCCCGTGACATATTCGATATGCCAAACACAGTAACAACAAAGTCTCCAATGGAGACGTTACTGGGCCCGCTCGAGCAAATCGATGATCAACTGGAGGGCTTTTGTCTATTAACACATTTTCTTTCTTTAAAACGTTTTGGAAATATCATTTGGGATGAATAGAATACTTAAAAAAATACACAAACCAATAAAGGGGGAGTAATGGAACATCTATGTTTTGTTGTTGTAATTTGGAACACAACTTGCAGTGTTCAGGGCAGTGTTCCTGGCTCTGTGCTCATAGATCACTCCTGGCAGCCTTGTCAGCTGCATGCTGGCTGTAGAACATACTTTTGGTTTTGTTTTGGGGCCACACTTGTTGATACTCAGAGGTTACTCCTGGCTCTGCACTCAGGAATCACTCCTGGCAGTGTTCAGGGGATCATATGGGATGCCAGGGACTGAATCTGGGTGGACTGTGTGCGAGGTAAGTGCCCTACCACTGTACTGTCATCCCAGCCCTGCAGAACAACTTTTTATTTTATTATTTTTATTTATTATTATTGGGCTGGAGTGGTAGGGCGTTTGCCTTGCAAGCGGTCAACAAGTTCGATTCCTCCGCCCCTCTTGGAGAGCCCGGCAAGCTACCGAGAGTATCTCGCCTGCACAGCAAAGCCTGTCAAGCTACCCATGACATATTCGATATGCCAAACACAGTAACAACTGTCACAATGGAGACGTTACTTGGCCTGCTCGAGCAAATCAATGAACAATAGGACAGTAACAGTGATTTATGATGATGATGATGATGATGATTTTTGGGTCACATCTAGTGATGTTCAGGGGTTACTCCTGGCTCTGCACTCAGGAATTACTCCTGGCAGTGCTCAGGGGACCATATGGGATGCTGGGAATTGAATCCGGGTTGGCCGCGTGCAAGGCAAATGCCCTACCCGCTGTGCTATCACCCCAGCCCCAGAACAACTTTTTATAGAGTAGTTTTGCTTATTTCATTTCCAAATACTGTCACTGTCCTCCCGTTGTTCATCGATTTGTTCGAGCGGGCCCAATAACATTGTGAGACTTGTTACTGTGTTTGGCATATGGAATACATCACGGGTAGCTTGCCAGGCTTTGCCGTGGGGGGCGAGATACTCTTGGTAGCTTGCAGGGCTCTCCGAGAGGAGCGGAGGAATCGAACTCGGGTCAGCCATGTTGGCTGCATGCAAGGCAAATGCCCTACCCGCTGTGCTATCGCTCCAGCCCATTTCCAAATAATGAAAATAATTTAAAAAAATCAACCATTTGTGAGATCTTTGTAAATGTCTCTTTCCAATAAAGCAGATCCCCCTGTTTTCTGTAATAACTCACCCTTAAGTAATACAACCATTCCCCTGCACTATTTTTCTTAGCTAGTAACTCAATTCTACTATAGAAAAAGGTGAAAAAAAATAAGCTAGTGATTTCAAGATAAACATTAGAGACTGAGTGATAATACAGGGTAAGGTCATGTCCTGCATGCAGTTGACCCTGATTTGATCAAAAGCACCACATATGGTGTCCTGGGCACTGCCAGGAATGATCTCTGAGTAGAGCTAGGAGTAAGCTCTGAACACAGCTACGTGTAGCCCCAAACTCTCCTCCCCCAGCCTCCAACAAAATAAACATTAATTTGTTTTCCTTAACTAAAATATAATTATGGTTAATCTAGCATACATACTCTCATAATCCAAACAGCAATCAATCACAAAAGTACATTTTGTGGATTTTTTTTGGCGGGGATGGAAGGGGTGGTTGGGAATAGGAAGAAGGTACTTGCTATCTGCAGGCCAAATGCTAAAAATATGGTGATGACTTAAACACTCTTGAGGAGTTTATAATATGCAAGAATTCATGGACCAATGGAAAATCCAAGATAAGGAGAGGTTATTTGACTTCTGTTTTTCCACTAGAGGCTACTTAATACATTTTATAGTACTTTTAATTGCACTCAAGACTTAAAAATGCAATATTCGCATAAAAGTCATTATTAAACCATGAAGTTACAAATCACTAGAATTGTTCAAGGCACACTTGAGACAAAGCTGAGTAAAAATAATAAATGTATAATAAAAATATTTGCTTTATCTGGAAACAATTCCATTTATTCTCAAGGTATTTTAGGTTCAAATAATAGCATAACTATTGCAGAGTAGGATATAATTCAAAGAGTGAAGCACATGCCTTTTTATGGTGGAGGCCTGAAACTGATTTTAAGTTCAATGGCCAGTACTGACTGTTGAGTATGTTCCAGGGAACACAGTATCACCGCTGGGAGAGCACCCCCTCTCTCAGTCCTGGAGCTGTATAGATTTTACTATTAAATTGAGGCTCAATAATTATTTCAAACATATTAAGTACTCATGTTTTCAAAATCTTTTTTAAAACTAAAAGATTGACAATTCACTACACTGCCTTACTAGCACCAGCTATGCTTTCTAGTATCACCCAATAATTCATGCTTAATACTATAATCTGGAAGATTGGCTAAAATGCAGCTTTATAATAGAAAAAAATGTGTTGTTTAAATAGGAAAAAGTTTAGGGGCTAGAGTGATAGCACAGTGGGTAGGATGTTTGCCTTGCACGCAACCAACCCAGGTTCGATTCCCAGCATCTCATATGGTTCCCCGAGCACCGCCAGGAGTAATACCTGAGGGCATGAATCAGGAGTAACCCCTGTGCATCGCCAGGTGTGACCCCCAAAGAAAAAAAAATAGGAAAAAGTTTAAATCTATACATCCTGAAAAATGGTCAAAAAGGCATTTGGCAGATGTGTACTGTACTTCTTTGCAAGGACCAGTGAGCCTTAATTCTATCTCTATGTATTTCAGAAAATATTCCTAAATATGAATCACCTGTGGCATGAAAATTTAAGAAGTGTGCTGATATGATGTAGAGCACCACCATGCCCTTTGCCAAATTACTTCACCATTATGCTTTATTCTTTTCTTTCCATAACACAAAAGTTAACCCTGCAGAGAATGTTTCAAAAGTTGTAAGAAGATGATTCAAAACTGAAAGGGTGCTGAGAGGATCTGGTGTCAGTACAAGCATGCATATATCATTTTATTGTTTTTTGTTTTGGTTTGGTTTCTTGGCTCACACTTGGTAATACTGAATACTCACGCTGAATCTGTGCTCAGGGGTTGCTCTCAAAGATATTACAGGGCCATGAGCAACCAAGGATCAACCCAGGCATCCTACAATCAAAAACTGTGCTCTACTGTCCTGCCACTATAAAGCATTTTATCAAAATTAGTATCAGATCGAGAAATCATGATATATACATTCAAAAGAACAAAAACAACCAGTGCTGGTGTGGATGTGGGGAAAAAGGGACGCTCTTTTACTGGGAGCGAATGGTGGGAATGCACACTAGTCCAGCCTTTCTAGAAAACAATATGGACAGTCCTTCAAAAACTAGAAATCGAGCTTCCATATAACCCTGCAATACCACTTCTGGGGATATATCCCGAGGATGCAAAAAAGCGCAGTAGAAATGACTTCTGTACCTATACGTTCATTGCAGCACTGTTCACAATAGCCAAAATCTGGAAACAACCCAAGAATCCTAGAACAGATGACTGGTTAAAGAAATTTTGGTACATCTACACAGTGGAATACTATACAGCTGTTAGGAGAGATGAAGTTATGAACTTTGCTTATAAATGGATAGACATGGAGAGTATCATGCTAAGTGAAATGAGTCAGAAAGAGAGGGACAGACATAGAAGGACTGCACTCATTTGTGGAGTATAAAACAACATAACATGAGGCCTAACACCTAAGGATAGTAGATACACAGGACAGGAAGAGTGCTCCATAGCTGGAAGCCTGCCTCATGAATAAAGGAGAGATGGCAGCTGGAATAGAGAAGGGCTCACTAAGAAAATGATGCCTTGAGGAACCAGTTGGGATAGGAGATGTGCACTGAAAGTAGATAAAGGACCAAACGTGATAACCTCTCAGTGTCTGTATCACAAACCATAAAAATACCCAAAAGTAGAGAGAAAGTATGGGGAATATTGTCTGCCATGGAGGTAGGGGGAGGGTGGAAAAGGGGGGGGGTACTGGGAATATTGGGGTGGGGAATGTGCACTGGTGGAGGGATGGGTGTTTGATCATTGTGTGATTGTAACCCAAACATGAAAGCTTGTAACTATCTCACAGTGATTCAATAAAATTAAAAAAAGAAAAAAAAAGAAATTGTGATACATACTTGGAATATGATGCAGCTCTAGGAAAAAAAATCATATAATTTATAGCAACATGGATTGAATCAGAGGATATCATATGTGTATCAATCACAAAGATAGAAATAAATACAAAATGGTTTTTCCCATATGTGGTACTTAAAGATATAAATAAAGAAAGCAACAAAGGACCAAAGGCAACACAACAGAACTGATGCACACAATTGAGTTCAGGTAGAAGCATTCCATTAGGGAGCCATTAGGGTCCTTGGGGGGAGTGAGGCGGATACACTGGTGATGGATGTGGTCTTTGAATTATGTGCATGAAAAACCATCATTAATCACTTTGTAAATCACAGACCTCAATTAAAATTTTTTGAAAAGTTTAATTTCTACAGATTCCACACAAATGTTCTGCTAGCTTAATCTTTAATTTTCATGCAATATAAAAGCAACCACTCAAAGCTCATCCTTATATTTTAACATTGCTTTGCTATGATTACTATCTTTAGACATATTTTTCATTTCCTTTAATACATAAGTTTTCAAAACCTGAACTATTAGCTTCATGTATAACAGCAAAATAGTTAATTTTCTGCTCAAATAAAATAGCCTATGAGTCATTTTATGGGCTTTTAAATAGATAATGGTCTGAAATTAAACTTTTTAGTCCAACATCCTCACAATCTTTCTTCAACTACAGAGCAGTCATCTCTTATGTCATATATGTCATAAATATGTCATTTGGAAAGTCTGATATTTTCCCTGTATTATCTTACCATGAACACTTCCTAGTGAAATATCCCCAGTGGCAGAAGATAGAAATGATGATTCTGTATAAAGATACTTGGCTTTCAGCAAACCATCTTCAGTAGATATATTAACAGAACTTCCCTGCAGTTTATCTACAGTCACAGTCTAGTAAGAGAAAGACCCAAATCAGTTCATATAAAACAAAGACTGGTATAAAGTCAGAATTATGCCTAAATATTTGGTGGCCAACTACACCAAGTGGAGTGATAGCAGAGCGGTAGGGCGTTTGCCTTGCAAGCCGCTGGCCCGGCCGAGCCAGATTCTATTCCTCCTCCCCTCTCGGAGAGCCCAGCAAGCTACTGAGAGTATCTCACCTGCACGGCAAAGACCGGCAAGCTACCCAAGACATATTCGATATGCCAAACACAGTAACAAGTCTCAATGGAGACATTACTGGGCCTGCTTGAGCAAATCAGTGAACAATGGGAGGACAGTATTTATTGAGTGATTCCTAAGCTAAATGTAAGATGACTGGGGTGCCCCGTCCCTACAATTCTTGGCCAACTACAACAGCAATTCAATGAGATGATGTGGCTCCAGGGATTGAACCAGTGTCAGCTATGTGCAAATCATATGCCTTAACCCCTGCACTTTCTCTCTAACCTCTATGTTCTGTTTTTAAGGTAGAACCAACTCAATGTGTGTCTACATTTAGTTGGATCTTTATTTTCCTTAATAATGCTATATATTTTCTGTTGAATTTATATTCTTTAAAATTTATCACTATTGATCTTTTCTAGATAATATAAAAAACAACATCATCATGAATATATTTTGCAAAAGGTAACTGAAATTTTAGGACATGCCTTTTCTGATTTTAGTGGGCTAAAGTATTTATTTTAATGAATTAATGTTACTTCTCATCTAGATTTTAACAGTCTATTTCTAGAATTGTTCTAATTCACATTTAATAAAGTAGTAGCTAATCAATGAATAAAATGGAAATAATTTTACATTTTGAATTTATCCCTAAGCTTTATAACAGGCATTTATGTCTCAGATATTGAATACAATATGAAATAAAAGTATCTGTTTAAAAATTCCAAATCATGATTATAGTAATTTAATGTTTTTGAGGATAAAGTACTGATAAAGATTTAACTTTTCAATTGTAACATCAGTGTTATCTACTTCTAATATGTCCTTCAAAGACAATTAATTTTGGTGTTATTTATTCAAGAATCCTAAAATATTAGAAGGAAATAAGTGTATAGAAAAACAGAAAATACTCAGATTCTTATAGGAAGTCCTCTGAATCTGCATCGCCAAGTTTCTTTTATAAAGAGATTTTATTTTATTTGGGGGGGGCACACCCATATGTGCTCAAGGCTTACTCCTGGTTCTGCATTCAGGGATCACTCCTGCTAGCTCAGGGACCATATTGGGTGTTGGGAATCAAATCCAGGTTGGCTGTGTGCAAGGCAAACACCTTACCCACTATACTATCACTCCAGTCCTTAATGGGATTTTATTAAGTATACATCAAATAATTATTTTTTATCTATTACAGTTTCTTTTAAACTAGGTTGTGACTTCATTATTTCGAACATAGCTTCAGTAAATTTGCAATCAAAAGAAGAGGACTTTAAGGGCTGAAGTCATAGTACAGTGGTAGGGCGCATGACTTGCACACAGCATACCCAAGTTTGATCCTTGGTACCATATGGTCCCCTGAGCACCACTAGGAGTGTCCTCTGAGTAAAAATCAGCAGTAAGCCTTGAAAGCCACTGTATATGGTAAAAAAAACATAAAAGATGGGGCAAGGAAGAAGTTTGCACTGGAGGGAAGCATACAAGAGTTAAAGTACTCATTCCTGGGAATATATCCCAGAGGGGCAAAAAAGTATAGTCGAAGTGACATCTGCACTTGTTTGTTCATTGCAGCACTCTTTACAATAGCCAGAATCTGGAAAAAACCCGAGTGCCTGAGAACAGATGACTGGTTAAAGAAACTTTGGTACATTTACACAATGGAGTACTATGTAGTTGTTAGAAAAGATGAAGTCATGAAATTTACATACAAGTGGTACTACATGGAAAGTATCATGTTAAGTGAAATGAGTCAGAAAGAGAGGGATAGACATAGAAAGACTGCATTCATCTGGGGAACATAAAGTAACAAAATAGGAGACTAACACCCAAGAATGGCCGAGATTAGTACCAGGAATTTTGCTCCATGGCTTGGAGGCCAGCTACACATGCTAGGGGAAAAGGCAGCTCAGATAGAGAAGGGAGCACCAAATAAAGGGTGTTGGGAGGATCCTCCCAGGATGGGAGATGTGTGCTGAAAGTAGACTATAGACTGAACATGATTGCCACTCAATGCCTCTTTTTGCAAACCACAGCACCCAAAAGGAGAGAGAGAACAAAAGGGAATGCCCTGCCACAGAGGCAGGGTGGAATGAGGTGGGGTGGAGGGGGTTGGGAGGGATACTGGGATCCATGGAGGTGAGAAATGGGCACTGGTGGAGGGATGTATATTTGATCATTGTATAACTGAAACCCAAGCACAAAAATTTGTAAGTCTACAACTGTACCTCATGGTGTCTCACTAAAAAAAAAAAAATTAAAAAGAAAAAAGAAAAGAAAAAAAAGAGTTAAGGTACTTTCTGTGCATCCAGACAATTCTGCTCAGGTCCCTGGAACCACATATTCAGATATATGAGAATGCAAATGTTTCATATTCTTCATATTCAGCATTACACTACAGGTATAATATTACTGGAGGGGAAAAAGGATTTTTTACTTATAAAGTTCCTTCATAAAAAGTTGTTCTATGCAGTTTAAATTCTTCAAGATTTTTTCATACAGCAAACAAGTGGGAACACTTTAGTTTGGGTTGTTATTTCTCTCTCTCTATTTCTCTCTCATAGAAAGTGAGGCTGTTTTAGAAAACACCAAAAGATAAATATTGAAAGAATATTTGAAACCTAATAAACTGGCAAAGGGCTCTTTAGATTATACTTTCTGCCAAACCAAATAAAGCCTTCAAATCTCCTTGTTAGTATCTAGAAAATATCAAGGATTTACTTTGTTCAGTAAATACTAAATATTTTGCTTACTAAGAGCAAGGAAAATATCTTACCCCAACTAAAACAAATGAAAGCAGTTAAAATACACTTTTCCATACTAGCTATTTTAACTAATCATTGCATAGATTCATTTCAAAGAAATTCAAAATTCACCAAGGGTCACATATAATTCATTATATATTCTAAATAGAACAGTTAAATTTAGGACCCATAGTATGACAGTTGGAAATGATAACTCTGAACAAGAACTGAGTGTTGAAACTAGGTAAAGGGATATACATGATAACCCTCCAGTATCTGTATTGCAAACCACAATGTCCAAAATGAGAATGAGAGAGAGAGAGAGAGAGAGAGAGAGAGAGAGAGAGAGAGAGAGGAGAGGTGCCAGGATGGGGGGAGTTAGGGAGGTGGGAGGGAAACTTGAGACACAGGTTGCTGGAAAATGCACATTGGTGGAGGGATGGGTGTTGGAACATCATGTGACTGAAATCTAAACATGAACAGCTTTGTAATGCTCTATCTCACAGTGATTCACTTAAAAAAATCAGGATACACATTTTATAGCAAGAGACTAAGGTTAAGATATAATGTTATTGACACTTTGGACTAAACTGCATACCTTGCTTATTAACAGAAATATCTAAGAAAAAAAAACACAAAGCAGACCTATAATCCCATAAAGCCAAGAGCTCTAAATAATACAATACCTTCCTGACTGCGATAAATTACCTTTTCTACATGAGAAGACAAACTTCCCGTAAGTTATTATTATATACCAAGATTACATAAAATGAAAACCAACTTTTAAAAATAAATTGTATTTTTAATTTCTTTAGGGAATACTGTTCTACAAGTACACTATATTTGACATTTAGGGGTACAACGTTATCACAGTGCACCTAGTATGTAAGTGCAATAGCTCTCCAACACAATCCATGGGACCTTTCCCTTCTACTCTGAAAACCAAGTAACTTTGTTTGTTGGTGTGAGGGGAAGGGGCTCCCAAACGATGTTGCAGAGATCCCAGGGTCCAACAGTGATTTTCATCTAAAACAGGCTGTCAATTCAGGGCAAGGGATCAAGGGATGGAGAATGTGATGCTGCTAAGATCTGAAGAGACTGAGCCATCTGGTGTGATAGGGTTTCAGGGACCATACCCTGCAATGCTCACGGGTAGTCCTGAGTGGTACCAGGAATAGAACCTGGGTCAGTCACAGACGGTTACATCCTAACCACTATATTATCTCCCAAGCCTCAAAAACAAGTCTTAAGGAACCACTGTGGATTTACTGTCAAAACTAAACTAGAGGCCAATTCACAATTTATTAGCAATTCACCCAATACCCTGATAAAGTGTATTTCTTGTCTTTCTTTTCAACCAAACTTTATGATCCTGAAATTAGTGACACGATTTTAACAACTGACATTCCCCATTTAAAAATGACACGTAAAGAGCAATGCTATTGTTTCTGGTGTTCGTTTGATTTTCACAATCTTATTGAGAAAGAAAAACAAATACTGCCATTTTCATTTTAAGAATAATGAAATGCAGTATCAGTTTACTAGTAAATTAGGATTTATCACGTTTCCCTTACCTTTAGAATACTATAGTAAATGCTACATTAGAATCAGCTATGTGTCAGGGACTTTGAAAGACTTTTTTATATGTATTAATTTAATCCTCATAACAGGCATTACTATTATTACATTTTCCAGAAACATAAGATCTATAAAGTTTATTAAACTCAAAAGCTCTAATGTGGCTTAGCCAGGACTCCAACCTATAGCTTGGTCCTCATTTTGTGCTCCTAACCAAGTCACAATACTGTCTCTCAAATGCCCATGAAAATATACATTGAACATTTCCATGAAAGTCAGCCAATTTGAATTTATTTTATACTAAAAAAAACAGAAATATACTTTAAAAATGAACAATACAAATGAATAATATAAAGACTGATTAGACTGACTCTTTAGTATAACAATCAAGCAAGAAACAAATAGTATAATAAAAGTAAAAAAGATAAGCTGTCAATAAACCATGAAACTTAGAACAATTAATTAACTAGAGAAAACAGTCTTCAAAATAACAAAGTGGGTTGTGAATCCACACGGGTGATGTAACTGAAACTGGGATGGGGTCACAAAAATTATTTTAAATAAATTTACAGTTTATATTAGACATTTTAGAGGCAGCATTGTGAATTGGTAATGAGGACCAAATTACAGGTTTGAATCCTGACTCAGCCAGTTTAGAATTTGTGACTTTAAACAAGTTGCTTAATAACCTTTACAGATCTTGTGTTTCAGTGAAGATGATGGATAAATTGGGAATAAGGGGTCAACTGCATGGAAAAGGTTAAAACTGTACCTTTAGTAGTGAATTTAATGGAGTAAATACGCAACTTGATTTTTAATGAACATCTGAAGCATGTGATTTTACAATACAACAACACTTAGATTTAAAAACTTATCAGTCTTACACTTTTATCTGAAGCATGTATATCTATATTTCCATAAACTGTTCCAAGGCAGATCACTTCACCACCCTTTGACTGAACATGCAATTTTTGACTCTGAAAAACAAAGATGCAGAGAAAAATAATAAATTTGACCTATTAAAAATGCTTAATATTTTATAAATTCCTATTAAAATAATAATAAAGTAGAAAAAGAACCAGGAATGAAACAGAAATGCACTGTTTGAAATGATAATAGCTACTAGAGAAGAACATCTATTGATAGAACTTGAACCATGTGGAATCAAATGGAAATAGAAGAGATATTGGGTCTTGTGGTAGCTTTACTGAAAAAGGATTTGGGAATCAAAGATCACTATGACTAATACATTAAATACTGCACATCAATGGTAAGGAAAATAATAATAATCACAGTTGTTGATCTTTATTTAGAACAGCAATATTTATCATTTTCCTAGCAATTAGGTAGCACCAGATACAAAGTTCATTAGTTTATATGAAACCAGTATTTAATCCCCACAAGAACACAAAGAGATAAATGTTTTTAATTTTACAGAGAAAGAGAATCAAGAATTAGAAATGTTAGATAACTTTATTAGATAACACAGTCATGGTCATGGTCCTCCCGTTGTTCATCAATTTGCTCGAGCAGGCCCAGTAACGTCTCCATTGTGACACTTGTTACTATGTTTGGCATATCGAATATGTCACGGGTAGCATGCCAGGCTCTGCCGTGCAGGTGAGATACTCTCGGTAGCTTGCCAGGCTCTCCGAGAGGGGCGGAGGAATCAAACTCAGGTCGGCCATATTGGCTGCGTGCAAGGCAAACAACCTACCACTGTGCTATCACTCCAGCCCAGATAACACAGAACATAACAAAATTCAAATTGAAAAAAAGCATTGATTGATTTAAAACTCACACTATTATGGATGGATTATCTGAAGGACATATTTGAACTTAGTACATAGGGTACCCTAACAAACTTAGGGTAAGCACTTACCTTGTATGCTGTTAACACCAGCTTAATCCCCAGTACCACATATGGTCCCCTAAGCACTTCCAGGAGTGACCACTGAGCACAGAGGCAGGAATAAGCCCTGAGCCCTGAGCCCCATTGGGCATAGTGGCACCCCTCTCCAAAAAAGTATTGTTCTGAATATGCAAGTGTTATCAAAATAAGGTAAATTATTTGTTCTTTTGTTCCCATAGCTTCTTAATCCTTAATTAATGAGCTATGTGGGCACATTAAAAATGTGACTAATTTAAGCACATTTACAGGGTTGAAAGATTGTTTTTACACTTTAATAAACTGAAGGAAATCATTTGATAAAGCTAAAAATTTAATATTTTAGAATATGAACAACATACAATTAATTTCATTAAACATTTGACAATAAAATCTAAAGGGAATATGAGGGAAATTTTTAAAACTGCTAGTTTTCAGAACAGAATTGATTTCAAGGTCAAAATTTTAAAAGGTGTTATACTCATTTGACTGGCTCTTCCTTGACTTTCAGATTTCAGTTCAGAAGTTATTAAGACAGAAGACCCCCTCAACAGATCTTGCTAAAACATTTCCAGTAACTATTTTTATTTCTAGCAGTGATTTTGTTTTGTGTATGTATTTATACCTTTAAAGCCTGGCAAGCTACCTGTGACGTATTCGAGATGCCAAACACAGTAACAACAAAGTCTCATGATGGAGACGTTACTGGGCTCGCTCGAGAAAATTGATGAACAACAGGAGGCCAGTGACAGTGACAGTGATTAAAGATTAATAAATAAATATACTGAAAATTCTGAACACAAGAATAATAGTTTTGCGATTTATAGTTTTTCAAGCCTTAAAAAATAATACTGAAGCAAAATTAAACAAAACATACCTTAACCGACTGTAAGATGCTGGTTCCCTGCTCAGTTTCAATTTTGCAATTATCACACTCAACATTATTGACTTTTACAGAGCCAGATCCTGATGACTTGATATTCAAATCTAAAAGATAACAGAAGTTAGTACTATTGCTAACTGTTGTGGGAAATCCTTCCCCTAACAAAAGGCCCCAAGACCAGTTTAGGTCTTTCAAAATTAACAAGGCAACTAATGTGTGCCCAAGAATGAACAAAACAGGTAATGGGGTGGCAAATTTGCACCTAGTAAAGAAGTTTAGAGACTTTCAAATCTTGAGGGTACATAGGCAAAAATAGAATAGGAAACTGTCATGATTTCATACTTTAGCTAAGTGAACTATATGTCTCTGCTCTTAATATAGTTACTAAATTGTGATGTATTTACTAAATGTCCTTAATGTCTCCGTCAACTTAAACACTGGCTTGCCTGAGGGGAACCAGGGTGGCTTAGAGACAGTGCATTGAATAAATGGTCTGCAGGTGAGCTTACTCATGGCTGCCCAGGTAACCCCAAAGATTGGGCAGTCCTTATGTGACTGTCTCCTTGTGTGTTTGTCATATTCTCTGCAAAACAACTGCTTGATGGAGGTCAAAGGTGCCAATCTTACCGGCTTCAGTGTGGTAAAATGTCATAAACTGACTCCGAAGCATTTTAGTATACCCCTGGAAATCAGGTTCTTCCATTACAGTCATGTTACTGAAACCTGGAGAAAAGAATTTTTGGCAATGTCTCTATAGGCTAATGGGTCTCCCTCTTTCACTTCAAGAGAATCAAATGTAAAGACCTCTTCTCCAGTTTTTAGAAAAGGGCTATTTATGTTGTTCAGTGTCATCCAAAGGGAGAAAGGAACATGGGAGGAAGTAAAGGATTACTAGCTAGCACAGTTACATTTTTTCTATGCTACCAAAATTTTTGCCTATTTTGATTTCAATATTCAGTTTGTATCCTCCTACAGTTAATACATTGGCAAGGTTTTTTCTGCACATTTTAGGTCATCAGGATATCCTGATATCAAGGTTGGTTCAAAGAAGTAGAGAAATGAGTCAGAAAGAGCGGGATAGACACAGACAGATTGCACTCATCTGGGGAACATAAAGCAACAAAAAGGGAGACTAACACCCAGGAATGGCTGAGATTAGTACCAGGAATTTTGCTCCATGAATGGAAGGCCAGCCACACGTTCTAGGTGAAAAGGAAGCTCAGATAGAGAAGAGAGCACCAAATGAAGGGTGTTGTGAGGACCCTCCCAGGGTGGGAGAAGCATGTTAAAAGTAGTCTATAGACCAAACATGATTGCCACTCAATGCCTCTCTTGCAAAACACAGTACCCAAAAGAAGAGAGAGAGAACAAGGGGGAATACCCTGCCACAGAGGCAGGATGGGACAGGGGGGATGGGGGGTGGGGGGGATGCTGGGACCCATGGTGATGGATGACGGGCACTGGTGGAGGGATGGGCACTTGATCATTGTATAACTGAAACCCAAGCACAAAATTTGTAAGCCTATAACTGTACCTCATGGTGTTTCACTAATAAAAAATTAATTAATTAATTAATTAAAAAAAAGAAGTAGAGAAGAGTCTTAGGGTAGTGAATGAGCAGATTCTATTAAGTTCAACTTTTGACTCGGCCTCTTTATGTCTGAGAGAGAATATACATTTCTGTTTATTGTTTTGTTTTTCTAAGGTGCTCAGAGGTTATTCCTGGCTCTGCACTCAGGAAATACTCCTAGTGATGTTTGGGGGACTATATAGAATGCTGTGGATTGAACTTGGGTCAGCCATGTGCAAGATAAATGCTCTACTCACTATACTACATACCCCCCCCCACCTCCCAGAATACACAAATTTTACCATCTCTCCCATGCAGAACATTTCACCATGGCATAGATTTTTAAAAATTTTTCCACCCATCATAAACGCTTTATGAAAACTTGTTGCACCTCAATTTTCTTATGTGAAATGGTGTCAACAATACATATTTGAAAGTAGAATTGCAAGGATCAGAAAAAACTATCCTGTGTTAACTGCTATTATGATTATTATCAGTATCATCCTTAAGTCTCAGCAGGGAGGAGAGCCTGAGGAACTGATCCTAAAAGAGTGTTGCGTGCACAGCAACTAGCATTTGTGAAATAACAGGGAAGTTTTTCTTCAAAGTCTGCTTTTCACAAAGAACTGACTTCAGTCTCAAAGCACCGACACATAACAGTTCAGAGTTTGGAATCTAATTGAAAGCATCATGGGGTCCAGGTTGGATGTGGATGATCCCAAGTGCAAGGCTCAATTTGGGGCTCGACTCCCTAGGCTTTGCACCAAGAGGAAACACTGTAGGACTAATCCACCAGACCATGGATTAGCAAGAAGCAGAAACCCTGGAAAATAAAGCACTCTGCTATTGCCAAACTGCAGGAAAAACGTGTTCAAGAATAACAACACAAGTAGTATTCAGCTTCCATTTCATTTCTAATATGTCTAATTATCAGCACCACTGGAGGCTTCAAATGAGGGCAGGAAAGTGGCAACTTCCGAAGGGGTCAAATATACATTAGGTTAGAAAGTCACTTTCTAACAAATTGCTAGGAAAATGATAAAAAAAAAAAAGAATAAAAAACACACTTGTACAGGCTTGCATCTACTACAGATAAAAGCCCCATCTTCAACGCGTATGTCTGAGCCAAGAGCGAGAGCGCAGCAGGTCTGGGTGGATGAAGCGACCACTCCCCAAAACCCCCAACTTTGGGTGAAGGAGTCAGAGCACCAGGATCTTAAAAGGGAGTGTTCATGCTGTTCAAAACCCCCAGCTTGAACATGATAACCTCTCAGTACCAGTATTGCAGACCATGGTGGGGGGGAGGAGGAGAGAGGGAGAGGGAGAGGGAGAGGGAGAGGGAGAGGGAGAGGGAGAGGGAGAGCCCTGCCATAGAACGGTTTGCAGAAGGGAAACTGGGGACATTGGTGGTGAGAAATGGACATGGGTGTTGTTGGATCATGGTATGACTGAACAACTTTGTAACTGTGTGTCTCACGGTGACTCAATTTAAAATTTAAAAAAAATTATAAGTATAAAAAAACAAACAAACAAAAAACCCAACAAAGCCCCCAGGTCCCAGAAGACCGGGTGAAAGGGGCAGACATGGGGGTGTGGGGGTGTGGGAGAAAGCCCCGGCCGATGTGTCTCCCCATGCAGGTCTCAGTTCCGTCCAGCAGGCACCACGTGGCAGAGACCTAGTGGGCCTGACCTCGGGTTTCAACTCGGCCCCAAACCCATTTCTCCCCTCCCCTGTGCACTGGGGTCCTCACCCGCGTCCTTGCCCGCGGAGTCCTCCGCTGCATTCTCGAACCTTAGCCCTCCCCGCAGCCCCTACCAAGTCTACCAAGCCCCTATCAAGTTTGCCACTTTCCGGTGAAGGGTGTGCAAGGCACCTCGGAAACGTGGATAGATAGAAGCTCCTGCCCCGCGCACCCCCAGCCCCCATCCCGTCCCCGTCACTTGCCGAACTTGACAGGCACGTTCACCTCCACGGAGGCCTGCGGGTGGATGGTGTCCGACACGATGCTCACCTCCTTCCGCGCCTCGTCGTACGTCACTTGCAGGCTGCCCGCGCCCCCGGGCGCGCCCTCCGCGCCGGTCACGGCCACCAGCACGCGCGCCCCGTCGGGGCAGGCCAGTGGGTCCAGCGGTCGGAGCGCCAGGTGGCACGGCAGTCGCGCCCGCAGCTGCCCAAAGGGGCTCACCGGCACGGTCCACTCCCGCAGGGTCCGGCGTGCGGAGCCAGACAGCCGGCACCGGCCAGCCTGACGCGGCCAGCGCCTGACCGCCTCGAGCGCCCAGACTCGGAGCGGACCCAGCCCGCGGCAGCCAGAAAGGGGGGCCAACATGGCCAGTCCTCTCGCGCCCTCCTCGGAGACGCTCAGACACCCGACAGTCTCACACCGAGCCGGGGCATGTCAAAAGAGGAGACACTTTGGGGGGCTTCCTGATTGGCAGAAACAAGACGGCTCCCGGGGTCCCGCAACTCAGATCTCGGTGGAATACACCTTACAGGCGCGTGAGCGTCTAGCCTGACCCCCACACTTCACCCTCTGCCCCCTGTCGCGAAGGACGACGGGATAGGTAGTTCTTAGGGAATCTGACCATGAGGGACTCTGGCCCAGTTAGAAACTACATATCCCGGTAGGCATTGCGCAGGGTATTAAAAGCAGGTGTTAGATTGGATGGGGGGGTGGGGATTTTGTTCCTCTCTGAACTCATTTGCCATTGGAGGAAGGGCGGGGAACGAAACAGGAATGACCAATGGAAAACGCTGCAGGAGTGTGGTGGGCAAGGCTCTGTGGTTACCTTGGATACCGAGGACGCGACTCCCTTTAAGTGGGTTGAGCTTTGTTTGGAGTGAGACTAGGAGGCCAAACAGAGAGAAAAATCGGAACAAACAACTACCAAGAGTAAGAAACTGAGCCTTTGAAGGTGAGAGTGCTATGCAAAATAGATTATCCTCAGCCCTTGGTTAAATTCAAGCTTCACTTAACTAATGCCGAATCTTCTGAAAAGACAGAACTGCCCTCTCTGAGGAAACTCCCTATGTGATAGCAAAAAAATACAGGAACAGCGATTTCCTTGGCTCCTTCCTTATTCTAAAAGATATCCTAGATCAGGAATTGAACGTTTCTGGGCTTAAAAATTCTTGTCACAAAGGATCAAACTATGTAAGCATCCACAAGATTGCAAGGTGAAGTATTTTCAATTTAACTATTGCATTGACTCAAGTTATCCTGAAATAGTCAAGATATCTAAACTCATATTAACAACAAATGATCCTTGGTTTTGGAACTAAAATGGGATGAAGGGTGGGAGTGGAGAGAACAATGCAATGGGAAGAATGAGGTGGGGCAGGGAGAGGAAGGAAGACAGAGGGAGAGGAACAGAGGGGGGAGGGGGAGAGAGAAATAGAAAGGGATACTAAGAAAGAGAGAAAGCAAAAGAAAGAAGTGTGCCGTGGTGCACTTAGAAGCACATGGACTGATTATTTTCCTGGGATTGCTACTCATTTGGTGATCTGTTATCAGCTGAGCCTATTTCTTCTTCATTTTTAAGACAAGGATTGTACTAAATGATAGGTTTGATATACCTTATTGTTCAATAGGCAATTGAAAAAAAAATGAGACAAAGTTTGTCTCCCTTTCTGCTTATCTCTCTCCCTTTTAATGCCCTTTCTTTCTCAATGAGGATTAATATAAAGTGGTATTTATACCGGGAATTCAAGAATGGTTCAGTGTATGTAAAACAATATAATACACCACATCAGTAGGCAGAATCTCCTGCCCCCACGCCTGGCTGTCCTCACCAGGGCCCCTTGGATGGGGGAGGGTTGAGTTTCTTCCCCCCCCCCACCCCGAGCAGAGCCCCAGCAGCTGAGGACCTCCAGAGCCAACCACGGCCATGCTGGGACCACTCTCCACACGTCCGGACAGGCCTCATGCATGAAAGAATTGGCAGAGGAACCCAGGCATGCGGGTCCTGGGGCTGAGGTCTCCAAGCCTACTCGGATTGGGACTGGGCCTTCTCCACCTAGATCCTCCATCTTCCAGTAGGTAGGCGTCATACCCACCAGCTGCCACCAGCGCCAGGTTGGTCCCATCAATGACCAAGATGCAAAGACTATAAAACCCAGCTCCCAGAAGTGCGGCCGCATTCGCGGCCATGCAACATCTTATTATCCTGTTTTTCCTTTGGAGAACCTGACAGGCTACCAAAAGTATCCTGCCCACATGGCAGAGTCTGGCAAACTTCCTGTGTCATATTCAATATGCCAAATACCAGTAACAATGATAGGTCTCATTCTCCTAATCCTGAAAGAGCATTGAAATGGCTCTTTTAAAATCTCAGGGCTAGGAAGAAGGAGACGTTACTGGTGCCTGCTCAAGGAAATCGATGAACAACAGGATTATTGAGATCGTGATCGTGGCCACATTAGTAAAAGGAAAGATAAAAAAGTATAATCATATTAATTGATGCAAACAAAGCTTTTGACAAGATCCAACATCCATTCATGTTAAAAACTCTCAGTGAAGTGGGACTTAGAGGAACCTTTCTCAAGACTGTAACAGCTCCCTATAAAAAGCCGATAGCCAAGCATTTGCCTTGCACGCAGCCAACATGGCCGACCCGAGTTCGATTCCTCTGCCCCTCTCGGAGAGCCCAACAAGCTACCGAGAGTATCTCGCCTGCACAGCAGAGCCTGGCAAGCTCCCCGTGACGTATTCGATATGCCAAACTCAGTAACAACAAAGTCTCCAATGGAGACGTTACTGGGCCCGCTCGAGCAAATATTATTCTTAATGGTAAAAAAATATGAAAGTATTCCCACTGAGATCAGGCACAGGGCAAGGATGTACACAGTCTCGACATTATTTTTAAACTTTTAAAAAAATGAATTACTGTAAGATATACCCTTACAAAGCTGGTAATGATTGGATTTCAATCATGCAGTATTCCAACACACATCCCTCCACCAGTGTACATTTTCCAGCATCAGTGTCCCCAGGTTTCCTCCCCTCCCGCCCCATCCTCCACCCCCTGCCTGCCTCTCTAGCAGGCAATTTTTTTCTTCTCTCTCTCTCTCTCTCTCTCTCTCTCTCTCTCTCCTTCCTTTTGGACATTGTGGTTTGCAATATTGACACTAAAAGCTTCCCAAGAATATTCCTTTACCTACTTTTAACTCAGATCTTATCTACTGTGACCATTCCCAGCTACTATTGTCGTACTGGTCTCTTATTTAACATTATATTAGAAGTCCTAGCAACAGCAATCAAGCAAGATAAGGAAATCAGGTATCCAAATTGGAAAAGAGGAAATCAATTATCTGTTTGCTGATGACAATCTGATAATTTACCTTCCATCTTTAAAACATTGTTGTCTTTAGAGAATGCCCATATACATCATCTGACTCTACTTTCAGAAACAATAAGTGCTTATCACTTATCACTTAATCCCCGTTATTCATCGATTTATTCGAGCGGGTGCCAGTAACGTCTCCATTCATCCCGGTTGCGTGCTAGCATAGCCCAATGGTATCTGTTCGTTTTAGGAACATGTAGAGCCTTAAACCGATCATTTAGGGTCTTGACGAAGAAGTCTGGCCATCTTATAGGTGGGCGTCCACGTGATCTTTTGATGTCTCGTGGAATCCAATCAGTAATGGCTCTAGTCCAGCGGTTGTCTGTAAACCTCATTACGTGTCCAGCCCATCTGATTTTTGATGTCTTGGCAAATGAGACAGCGTCCCTGATTCTTGAGCGTTGACGAAGATCAGAACTCCGGATTCTATCTCTCATTTGAGTGAATCGTGATATTCCAAGCATAGTTCTTTCGATTCCTCTTTGAGAGACCTGAATAGCGTTCTCATCCTGTTTTCGTAGGGTCCAGGTCTCTGAGGCATATGTTAATGCAGGAAGAATAGTGGAATCAAAGAGATGTGCTCATAGCTGGAGGTTCTTTGTCCTTTTAGTTATTTCTTCAATGCTCTTGAAGGCGTTCCAAGCCGCTCTCTTCCTCCTGCGCAACTCAGGTGCCAGGTCATTCATCATATTGATTTCTCAACCTAGGTATATATAACTGTTGCATTCGGAGATGGCGGTTCCATTGAGAGCGAACGGAGCGTCAGGAACAAGGCTGTTTCTCATAAACATTGTCTTTGTAAGATTCAGCTGTAGTCCGACCTTTCCACATTCACGGTCAAAGTCGTTCAGCATTTGTGCCGCTTGGTTGATGTTTGGTGTTATTAGAACGATGTCATCAGCAAAGTGGAGGTGGTGTAGCTGCCGACCATCTATCTTCACTCCCATGTTTTCCCATTCCAGTCGTCGCATGATGTTCTCGAGGGTGGCACTGAAGAGTTTTGGTGAAATGGTATCACCCTGCCGAACCCCTCTCTTGATATGGATGATTACTTCTTTGTAGAATGGTGAGATCTTGGTAGTGAATCCGCAATAGAGCTCACGAAGGATCCTGATGTATTGAGTTTGTACGCTCTGATTGGCTAGGGCTTCCATGACCGCTTCCATCTCAACAGAATCAAAGGCCTTCTTTAAATCAATGAATGTTAGACAGAGCGGCATCTTGAACTCCCGAGATACCTCAATGAGCTTGGTTATTGTGTGGATATGGTCGATGGTACTGAATCCTTTTCGGAATCCAGCTTGTTCACATGGTTGTCCTTCATCTAGTGTTCTGCTAATCCTATTCAGGATGACTCGAGTGAATAGTTTGTAGATGACAGACAATAGGCAGATTGGGCGATAGTTGCCAATGTCGTGGATGTCTCCTTTCTTGTATAGTAGTACAGTCCTGCTGGTTTTCCATTGGGATGGAACCTTGCATTCAGACAGGTAGCATGTGAAGAGTCGAGCCAATGTATTGATGAGTACTGATGGTAAGTTCTTAATGGAGCAAATATTATCCTCATGTTTTATATTAGGAAACAAATTCAGTAAGATTAAGATTAAACAATTAGGACTGGATCCATAGTAGAGCTTGTAGGGCGTTTGCCTTGCATGCAGCCTACCTGGGTCTGATCCCCGGCATTCCATATGGTCCCCCAAGCACCTCTAGGAGAAATTCCTGAGTTCAGAGCCAGGAGTAACCCTTGAGAATCGCTGAGTGTAACCCAAAAATAAAAAGATTAAACAATTAGAAATTCCCAATATTTCTATCTTCCAAAAATTATTTGTTAAATGAATGGGAAACATGTAGAAACTATATTCATAGAAGTAGAGTGTACATCTAAGATACTTAAATTTGTTCAGAGAAAAACAAAATGAAACACCAAGCCATTGATCATTCAAGAACATTTCCAGTGAGAGTGTTAGTGCAAACCTTCTTTTGTTTGGTTTACATAAAGCACCTTAAAATCCATATATTCTTGGGGGTATGGTGCCACCA